AAGTCAATCTACTCAATGTTAATATATCTTTGTATTTTTATTTAGAATTTATAACTCCGTTTAGAATGTAATTGCATAATTAAATATTAAGCTCGAACAAACCAAATGTTTTATAAATTAACATCGTTTCTTACACATATATATATATATATATATGTATTGAGAATTGAGATTTATATGAATAGATAAGTAATTTCAAGTAGTTAAAGTTAAAAACAATAAATTTATCATAAAACTCTAATCTCGAATTTATATTGTGTTACATTAAAATATATGTTATATATATATTAACAAATTTAAAATTAAATATATTAACAAATGCACATTCACAGAAATCTTATACCATTAGTTTAATGTATTTAGTTATTTTCTTCTGTTATTTTTAATATTTTTGTTTTATTTATAACTATTCGTTGTCGTCTGATCGTTATATATACTATGATGATTTATCCGTATCATTATACACTATAGTGTCTTTTAAACCGATTTAAACATACAATTCGAATATCCAAAAACACACTACAGCCGACAGGTGTAATACACTAAATATACATATAGTAATATAACGTACCTACTAAATAAAATGCGTATCAATACGATCATATTATAATGATTATTATAGCACGATTAATCGGTGTGATGATATACAATGAAAACGAGCGTGTTTCGTTTAAGGCACGTGTCTTTAAGTCACCTACGATCTGATCTGATGCGTTTCGCGTTCGTGGTATTTCAGTGTATCCTCGTCTCGCTGTTAACGACTTACCGGCGCTCTGATCGTGTAATGTTATAATATAATATTATATTATTTGTACTTTTATCGAGTATATTATAATACCTACCTAAATTTCGTCATAATTTGTTTATTCTTCGTCAAAGTATTACAATCGCTATCTCAGTCATTTAGACATTTAGTAGAAGGTTTTATATTATTATTACACGATTGTACATTTCGTTATACGCGTTCATCTACAACGTACATAACCTCTGTATCTAAACGCAACCACTCGAAAGATAACGTCCAGGCACTTACTTAAATATCGTGCATATTATTCAACCGGTGTGCGTGTGTGTGTTTTTTTTTTATTTATTGGTACGTTATCTCTTGTTTGAGCCTCGCTCTTGAAACGGCGCACTCTTGGTATAAAAACGTCACGTTGAACGGTTGTGGATTCAGAGCGCATTTGGTGTCGGTTCGTCACACGCCAATAGCGTTCAGTCATTTATTTTATGTTTTAATTTTTTTGCTCTCAGGACGCGAGTTATATTTTCTAAAGTAAAAACGCGGTTTTTGGTGTTTTTTTTTTTTTTCATATATAGTGTAAATATTTTTCGTTTCTTTCTCGTACGTTTGTCGCAACAACACTGTCATGTGGTTTAACAACCGTTTGTCCAATCAGTTGGAAGTTTGGATCAAGGCATGTTTTATGTTTTAACGTTTGGTATAAAATAGAAAATTAAATCATTTTAATTTCATACCGTGCCAGATCTAACTCTTCCAGCTGATTAGACTCGGTGCATTTCGACTGTATAGTATTAATTTAAAAATTGAGGGTTTTTTCGTATTATTAGCCACAAATAATGTAAAATCTCAATGAATTTAACTGATTATCTGTCTTAGTTTTTATTTATTTAGTTTTTATTATAAACATTCATGTATACTATGTGAAATCATGTATTTTATATTTATTTTGATTACAATGTATATTTTAATATCTGTATAAAACTTATACACAATTTTTACTTTAATAGTTTTTTTTTTTTTTTAATTGCTTAACATTCAATTAAATTTCGACTCTACAAATATTTTATTTGTATATTTTTTTTAAATAATATATTTTAATATTCATATTTTATATTTGGTGAGTAGGCATTTACATTTTTATCTTTTAACTTTAAAATTATCTAAATATATTATTAAATTATTAAATACCTTAAAATAGTTTTTTTTCTTAGACAATTTCCAATGATAAAAATACGAAATTAATTATTAATCCCTTGGCAGGTATTTGTTTTAGTTTAAATCAATATTCTCACGTTTTAATTTCAATATTAAAACTTGAATACATTCTAAAAATTTGATGTAAATGAGTTAATAATATTTTAAATAAAATTGAATTCATAGATAAGAGCAAAAAAAAAAATGTACAGAATACTATATAGATATTATATTTTAGAGTCAATGAACTTGTATAAATTTTATCATACTTCATGTCATTTAGATACTGAGATTTTTGTAAAAAGTATTTGTATTTTGATAGTTTTTTACGCATTTCATTCACGCAAAAGATTGGCCTGAAGACATTATAATGTATTCATCTAGATCAGGCCAAGATTGTTTAAGCGTTTTTTTTCTTCATATTTCTCACTAATGATTGCATTATTTTATTTCTTCTTATCATTATCAAATCGTTTATGAAATGTGTACCATCCTCAGTAGTTATATAAGTTTTCTGAAATTGTAAAGTATTTTTAAATTAGTAATAGCTGCAGCGGCCTAAATTATATATGTATGTATTCAATACATATCATATACAGAACACGTGAATTCATGAATTAAGTGGAGAAGTAGTCTGTTCACTATATTTATTAAATATAATAAAATATTTTGCAAATACGCACAAAGTGAGATTCAACTCCTCCAACTTAATTCAGTCACTACACACTACGAAGATCTACAGAGATGGCCGCTGCTAAACTAGTACTTACTGTAAATTGTAATTAGTATCAAAATATATTGTAATTCAAATAATTTAATTTTTTCAACTATGACTTGTATCGTTTAATGATGTTGATATAAAAATATTATTTTATATTGTTAAGTTTGAAATTTAAAACTATTAATTGTTTATTTTGTTATCATTTGAATTTATTCAAAATATTGTAGACTAATATTACTAGATCTAAAATATTGAATAAGTATTTCGTTATTTTAATTAATGACATGTACAGGTTTTAATTTGTATCATTAGCTTGATGAGTACTATAAAATAAATGTCTCTTAACTGATATTGAACACTTCAATAATTAAATATAAAATCTAAATCATGGTATAATCCTTCCATCCATCTTTATAGTGTTAACAATAATGTTTACACAAATACTTAAATGTTTTATGGAGTTTTTAAATATAACATATATTTTATTGTTAAGCATTATTTATTAAAGGTTTAAAAAGTATATTCAACTAGTTAATTGGGAATTATGCAAAAATAATGATATATATTATTTATACATTAAATTTATTTTCATAACTATTCAATCTTTAATTGAGTCCAAGCATTTTTAGTTGTTTATTATATGAATGGTATACATAGAGATTTTTATTAAATAAAATAAAATGTATATTATTTACGTATACATTTAATAATATTAGAACCATTACAGATATTTTGGTATTTAAATAATGTATTTTTTTTAAATAACAATTTATTTATTACAATGGTACAATAATGTATCAATTATTTATAGTTATGAATTACATGATTCAATTGAGTAAAATAAATCAATTTTTAGATCTTCACTAAATTAAATGATTGATGATGAATGTAATTCTTAGTTAGGATTTAATTGTATAAAGTATTGATAAAATCTAATTGGACAATTAAAATTTGATAAATATTTATTATTAAAAATTCAGATATTTTGTTTTTATTTTTTTATATTTTTAAAATTTAAATTTTTCATAATATTTTAAAATTTATTATGGCATAATAATATACAAAATATAAGAATTTTGCATGTTAAATAAATCAATAAATTAGAAAAAAGGTTTCCAACCTTTTTTTACTATAGGTAAAATCAGAAATACTCTTTGGTATTCAGGGTCCACATTTAAAAAAAATCATAAGCAACAAATTAGTTAATTAAAAATAACAAATTTTCTAAACATTGATTAGTTGGCAAACCGCAGATTGGATACCCCTGAACTAGATAGTTAAAACATCTTACTGTAAATAGTAAACATTTGAATAAATTGTTATAATAATTCAAAATATCATAAGTTGTCTATATTTGGATTTTGTCATTTCATTCATAATTTAAATCCAATTTTATAATCGTATTTAAATATTTCTAATATTTTTGGTCTTTAGAGTCTTGGTTATTATGGTTTTTTTTAGTTAATTAATATAGATTATAAAAAGTGTGTAGCAGTATTGTGATAAATGATTTCCATCGGTTTTTATGTTTTAAATGGAAGAAAAAATAGATTGTAAAGGGTATAATATATCCATACACCTTATCTCCATCTTAAAACAAAACAAATTTTTGATCAGTAGTTCTAATTTTGTATAGGCAATCTTAATAATACAGAAAATTAACTTATTTTAAAACTTAAATGTTAAAATTTTATAAGATATTTAAAATGTAAGTGTTTTATATACATTTTAATATTTTACTTATTATAACTTGCATAAAAATTTAAATATCTTAAAAAATTATTGAGAAAACACAAATAATATTCTTATCTTTAAGTTTGATAATAGTTCAATTAATTGTATTACAAAAGGATTATTATAGGAAAATTGAAATAGCTGAATAAAAATTGTTATGTTGTTTGTTTGGAAAAACCCATTTCCATAAAGGAACGTTAATTTTTATCTAATTTTTCTTTTATACTTTAATGAAATACTACATAGTTAAAAAATCTCCATGCTAAATTATTAACAAGAATAATTTCAAATATATAAATAAAATTTTAAACCATCACAGAAAAAAAATTAAAAAAATTGGGATATCAGTTGTAATTATCTCTAAAAGTAATAAACACATAAATTGATGTTAACATTGTATTTTAAATGATAATCTGATACCTGTTTTAATTAATATGTTATAAATATTTCAATTATTTAATTAGATTCCAATTAAAAAATAAATTCTTACACTTTTAAAATATATATACCCAAATAAAATTGATTATTACTTTATTTTTAAACATCAAGTTACATGTTTATTTTATTATTTAAAAACTATTAATATTTTTATATTTTATTTACTAGTTGTGGCAAGTGGACTCTGATTGCATTGGCTCACTATTTACATTTCAACATATGCAACATATGTGCATGGACCAAAATATTTTAGTTTCTAATCCAGATATTGATTTAAACAAAAAGCGAAGACAGAGTAAAACCGTTATTATTGATGCTGGTCGCATTTATAAATTACCTTTTATATTTAATTTAGTAAACTTACTACCTAAATGTAGACATCATTCTTCAATGACGTTCAGTCTTTTCACTGCAGATCATGATTCTGGTAAAAATATTTTTCCATTTAAAATGATTTTGTGATTAATTTTTTTTATTTGTCTTTAATTTTCACATTTTAGCAGAATTAAATAGTACTAAAGATGAAAGAAAATTGAATTACATGTTGGAGCGTTCATTTTACTCACGTTTGCGAACATACAATAATCGATCATTTAACGTTAACGACTCAGATCTATCAGTAGATATGAATCAGACATTGAATGATCAAGAAATTGGCCAATGTTTCATTAAACGCGTTAATGATACTCGTTTAATTTTAACTGTTGGTCCATCACTTATAGAAGAAAAATGTAATATTACGGATAATTTATCTGAGGATAATATTCAACCATTTTGCCGTTCAAGAGCCAATACATGGCATTACAGTAAAAGAGGAACAGGACAATCATTATTGAGTGCACAGTCCCAAGAAAATTCTACACATTACTACCGAACAATGTCTGTGGGATCAAAGCCATACTACAAAGACTCTGAAGATCTGTCTTGGGCTCAACTCAGGGTTGAACAAAATTTTTCTACTACTGATATTAAACATAACAGTTATTTAAGTGATATTAGTACTGATGGACAAGATTACCCAACACATATGTTTATTGATGTTTATGACTGCCGACAAGAAGATATAGAAAATGTTCTTATGTCTGACTGTAGTTCGTTTGATCATTCATTAACTGATGATTATTTTGAAGAAAGTAGTTCTTGTGATAGTACTGAGATCAATAGTGATGAAGAAGTAGAAGACGAAAATATAATTTCTAACCAAGAACAAATTATTTATGATGATCCTCCTGGTAATTATTTATTTATTTTAAGATAGATCTATTTTTAAAAATAAAAAATTTGTTTCAGTTGACCCAATGTTTTTGGAAAAATATTTATACAAAATTCGAGTTATTTATGATCGCAGCTTAGTTACAACTGTATTTCAAGCTTTACATCTGGGATTGAATGTTCGGTACATGGACGTTCAACGTGCTGTTGATAGATGTCAGCATCGTCTTATTTCATTTGACATTACTGATTACATAAAGGTAAAATAAAATTTATTATTGTACAAATCTACTATAAATCATAATATTATAAACCATAGGTTATCAAACTTTTTACAGTATGAAAAATGTTTAAAATCTGGTGACCCATTACATATTAAACTTGTATTTTGACTAATGATTATTTTCAATTGCTGATCTCTATTTATGTTTTATAATCATAACTTTGGTTCTGTAATTATTATTATAATATCTCAACTTTTCTTAAAAATATTTCCTGCTTAATTATTATAAAAATATCAAGTAGTAATTTAAATAAAAGACATTTTTATGCTTTATTTATTTGGTTATTTTTCTTTTATTCAATTATTGGTTTTCAAAGATTTAGATTGATTTGAAAAATAGTTTTATTTAAGTTTTTAGAATGTGTTGATTTATTATTGGTTTAAAATTCATAAAATAAAATATTTAAAAAAAAAAAATTCATAAATTATTATTTCATCATGGTGGAAGAAATATTATTAAAAATATTCACTATATATAACTAACCTATATCTTGTGACTTTTTAAAAGTTTTTCCTATATCTTGAATTTATTTAAAACAATTTTTCTATTTTAACGATTTAAAAAAAAAAATATAGTTCAATCAATATATAAAGTAATTTTTTAATCAAAAAATACTCAGTATTTCAAAATCCATTATCATTTTTGAAAATATTTTCGTAACATAATATACAATTGAAATAAAACCACATTTAAAAAATAAAAATGTATATATTTTTATAGTTATAATTTTTTAAGTTTACTACTTTTTTAAATGACAACTTACATTTTAAATTTAATATTTTGTAGTATAATATTTTTTGGAATACTTCATAAAATGTTGATCTACTGCATTCACCTAAACATTGATAGATTTTGACGTAACGAGTTTTTAACAATAAAAGAATTATCTTGTATGATTTTTATATTAATAAATAAATTAAATTAAAATTGTATTTTATTACTTAAAATAGTTGTTTAAATATAAATTGACTTAATAATTTTTAAATAGTACTTTTAAGAATTTTCATAAAGAAATAATTAACATTCAGATTTATTGGACTTATAGCATATTATTAGCTTATATTATTATTTAAATTTTGTATTTCGTTTTAATAATTTATAGTTAAAACATTTAATATGAATGTAATCGAATAATAATCAATTATCTTAAAAGTAATCTGAAAAAAAATCAACATTGTTTATTGTAATAAGAATTTTAACTAATACTACTATTGACTAACTATTATGTGTGTACAGGTTGTATGTGATCATTTTAAGAAAAATGCTGATAGCTGTTCTATTTGTCCTGCTGATAATACGACATTAAAATCACATCATGATATGATACATTCTAAATTTTCAGCTACATTAGAACGCCACATGTTGAAGCCTGTAGTAAACCACCAAGATTATTATTTTTATGACCTAATTGACGATTTAGTAAGTTATTTATTTTTATTTCATTATTTTATTAATTGATTAATTTATAATTTTTCTTAGGACTGTGATGAGTATAGTAACAGAAGACAGAAATATCTAACTAGTATTTTATTAGGAGAAACATATCATAAGACAGATTTTGATACACATGAATTAGATGAACAAGATATATTTCCTCTATTTGTACATTTAGTTTGTACTATAAAAACTAATACTGTTACTAAAAGTCAGTCTGTTCGTTCTTTACCTACTTGTATTTGTAAGTATTATAGCATGTGTTTTTTATAATATTTTAATTTGTAATTGAATTATAAGAATTTTTAATTTGTAACAGGGGGGGGGGAGGAAGGTATTTAAATCCAATTATTATGTAACTATAACTTATCAAAAAATAATAATGAAAAAATTCTATAATTAATATTTAAAATACTTTATTTAAAAATTATTAATATGGATTAGTGTATATGTGATTTACAATTTTCCTTGTAAATTATGTTTTTATTCTCTAAGGTATATTACGTATAATTATATATATTTGTATATAGTTGAACTAATGAATCAAGATAATGATGAAGAAACCTCAAAAAATATGGATTTCAGTAACATAAAAGTATCATTGGATGTGTATTGTTTAATGTTACCAATCAATGTTTATGATGACGATGATGATGATGACGATGAGGTTGATAAATATACTACAATGAATAGTTCAGAACAATTACATTTTCCAATTAAAAATAAATCTATAGTACAACCATTGTTAGTATAACCTTAAAAACTATTAATTATTATTTTTTTAAACACATTTAATTTATAGGAAACATACAGACGATCATGAAAACTCATTTGATTATTTGAGTTCTTCTTTACCACCTCGGCATGCTCAAGGATTAGCAGCATTCTTAGCTGAGGTAATTAAGTTATGACTTATTAGACTTAAATAGTACTCAAATAATAATTAAATTTCTTCATCTTGAAATATAATTATATTTTTTTTCTACAATAGGTGGAATGGTGTATGCGCGATGAAATGGCAGCTGGTCTTTTACTATATCCAACTGTTACTACAAATTCATTAGAAAAGATCATTGAACATGTTTCAAATTCACCACAATCTCCATCAAATGATCACCAACAAATACCTGTTCATTTTGTTGTACCTTCATCACGTCCTTCTAAATACAATAGTGTTTCACTTTTTTTACAGGTATTTTATAATCTATTAGTTCTTATGTTTTGTTTTAAACTCATTTAAAGTTAAGTAAAACCATACAAAATGATTGTTATGGGATAAACGTTCAACAAATTTATTTTTTCAAAAACTGTTGTTACAAAAACTTATTGAAAATATGTTGACATTTTAATTTTCTATTACTAAATTGTTAAATTAATTTAATTATCAACCACTCTGCACTAATTGTAAAATAATACTTAAAAATCAAAAAATTAACTTATTCATTGATACTACAAATGTTTATAAAATATTATTTATACATGATTAATTTTCTAATATTTTATATTTGTTATAAAATTATTGTAAAATATTTTTCCTAGGCTATAACTTAGTATATATTAATCATGGTTAAACAAAAATATAGTTTTATACATTAATAATATTTTGTTTTATTTGAAAATAATACAATTATTTCAGGGAAATTTCATTGTATATTATTCATATTATCTAATGTTTAAAATATTTAAATGTGATTATAAGTGTTCATAGTAGCTTGAAGTTAATAAAAAATGTTTAATTATGGCATTTAAATAAATTAAAATTTTTGAACACATCAATTTATAATATCTAAATCTTTATCATAATTTTGTATATTATATACACAATCAAATTAAATATATTACAGCCACAACAAAAATATTATTTTTCATGTTATAGTTAATTATATTTATTTTTATTTTTTAAGGTAGAATTTGCATAAAACATACTTGTTTGTTCGTTTGTTTCAGAAACTTGATCAATTTGATATTATATTAGATAATGATAATGGTAATGAACGTTATGCTCTTGAGCAATCCACAAAAGATACATTTTATGTTGTGGAAAAATATTTGCATCCTAGTCCTGATAGTACAGTTTTTGAAAGCAATGGTGATGATATTGAAAACAATCCTGATTCTGACAATTTTTTAACTGATATCAATCACTCTAAACCAATATTACCAAATTTTTGGATCATACTAAAAATACAGCCTGATCAACAATGTCAAAAAGAACACAAATCTGATAATAACAACACAGTAAACACATTAGTAGTAAATGTATATTTCCATTGCAGGTAAACCAATATCCTAATTTATATGTACGTTTTCTAAACTCTAAGTCACATTGTTATTTCTTAGGTTTTCTGAATCAAATATACAAGGAAAGTATTCTGCTATAATGGAAATTGTTAAACAAAATGTGAATCAAGCAGCCACTGTTGTCAATCAAACTATATTATTATGTCGTTTATATGAAACGAAGACTTGTGACCCATTATTGGAGCCTATTATTGAAGATTATGATCATTCAGATGATGGAGGTAGAGTTCTTCAGCATAAAATAAATAATAACAAAACTATATAACCTCTTTTTAAAGATACATAATTTAATTTTTAAATTATGACTAAAATCTTTTAAGATAAACCAAAATAATAAATTTGTTATTGAAAAAATTTAATAATTTATAAATCAATTGATAATTTATCTATTCAACGTTTGGTATAGTTTAAGATAGTTTCTTGAATTTTTGGTTTAATTGATGAAATTAATAAAAAGAGATGATAAATTACTCAATTTAACTGTTATCTTTATAAATCTATAAAATATATTTTGATTTATAGTATATTTTACATGGGTTATTTTTTTTTAATTAGCTTATATAACAAAATCATGTTTTTTACATCTTATTTAAGTTTTGTTGTAAAATTAAAAAAAAACAATAAATTATAGCAAAACAAAAAAAATACATAAATTATAAGTAAAAAAATAATGTCAAATAAATTAATTTTGTTTTAAAAAAAATAACTTACTGTGTAACTTAAAATTTTAAAATCTGTTAAAAAATGTATAATTTTCTGAATGAATTTAAATTTAATAGTAATTAAATATTTTTTTAATATGTTTTCTGAATAAAGAATATTTATACATGTATTAGTACTCCTGCCCACTAATCTAATACTTCAAAATTTTTTTGTAATTTTAATTACACATAATTTTTATAGATGAAAATGGTATTGGTGAGGGAAAGAAAATCATAAACCATTTTACTCTCGCTCAATTTAAGTGCCCAGTTGTATGGTCTACCAGATTTTCACTACATCCTAGGCTTCAACGAGCAACAGCTATGGGCTTACTTGGTATACAAGTTTTGCATACTATGCTTGAGGGGTTTTCTGTTCGTAATCGTCGAAATATGTTTGTTTATAAAGAGTCGTCTGGTTCTGTGTTTTATTTAAGGTAATTTTTCAAAATTTAATTAAACCATTTAAGCTTATAGTATTTTTTTTCTTTGTAGAATCTATGAAAATTCAAGTCAACAGCAACAAGAGCAAAAACCTAATAATACTTTAATATATCCATCACAATATGATTCTGATGACGATGATACTATATCAAGATGTTCATCTGCCACTTCAACAACAATTGCATCTACAATATTTTCTTCTAATCAATCAAATTTTTCACGAAAATATTCTGAGGATATAAATGTTTGTATAATATCATCATCATATATATGTATAGAAAGAGTTTTCCAAATTGTATATGCCAGTAAATATCATTAAAGTTTATTTAAATTAGATAAATCAGTTAATGTGCTAATAATTTGTAATTGTAAATTCAAATGAATAAATCAAAATTAAAAGAATGAACAATTTGTATACATTATAAATAGTAAAACAATATTATACAAAAAACTAAATAATCATAATTCAAAAGACTCTCTCTATATATATATTTATAAAAGCATATAATTTTATTATCACCATAGGACTGCTTCATAACTTTAATTATTTGATTTAGTACATGGACAATAAATCTATTCAAAATCCTGGAACTCGTTCTTTAGGTGGGTATTGGGGTGATGTAGATTCAAAAGACGTAGAAGATTTGACATTAAAAGTACATGGAATATCACCTGTTGGTAAGTAGTATACATTTAATTATTTAAAATATAAATATGAAGAATCAAATTTTTTTCTAACTTATTTTTGATGATATTAGGTGATGAAATTCGCATTGATCTAGTAAGAGTTCTACAGAACCGATTAAATGATGGTGTATTAGAATTGTTGACAACTATGTTATATAGAAATCCTCTATGTAGATTGTATCCAGATGATGTCCGTTTTGTGCAACCAAACAATAGTCATCCGGATTATACTATGAAAGTAATTATTTCATATTATACTTATTTAATAATATAGATAGTTTCTTAGAAAATAACATGTAAGTTTCAAATTATAAAAATAAATTACATGATAAAATAGAGTTTAACAATATGTTCTTTTCTATTTTATAATATTTAATATCAATAGTACTAACTACTAACATGAAAATATTAAACATAATTTTACTTTATTATTAATTTATAATCATTTTTTGTTTAGTTATCATTGCCAACTGAAACAAAAATTACAAAATTATTTATACACAATCTAAAACGTTGTGCTGCAACATTATTGCTATTTCCCCCACAATATGCAAGTCGTCATCATAGATTTAACTATGCATATAGTATGGAAAACGAAACAAAAAAGCCTATCATTCATTCATTTTTTATGTACAATCAGCCAATTGCTGGTATTAGTGTAATTGGTGGTAAACGTATTACAAGTGGTAAACGAGGTCTAGCATGTGTTTTATTTGACATTTATTCAAATGAAGATCCACAATATGATTCAATAGATTATTTATATGACTATCCTACTGATCCTGAGTTATTTGAAAGACATACTAATGCAGCATGTATTGATGATTTAAAATCAACTTCTGAATATAGTGGCTACAGTAAGATATTTAAATTTTGTTCAATATTTATATTTATTTGAAGTAATTAATAACTATTATGTTTAGTTAAATTGTTTGTGTGGTGGCGTGGTCGAGATAACATGGAAGTTCTTCAACAAAAACTAACTTCCACCGTAACTTACTCTTTATGGGATATTTATATTGAACGATTTTTGTGGGAACAGCCTCTTATAATTGAACAGCCATCAGAAATATATGTGAATCCATTATGCATTCAATTTTTAGCAAAATGGATAGCGTTTGGAGCACGCAAATCGGTTCCGTTGGCATACCATTCTAAAATATTATGTCGGTAAGTATATTTTATACTCGTATGTGCAGACGTTATACATATCAAACTGTTTCAAAAGTGAGTATACCAGGTGGCAACTCACAATTCTCATTATAGAACAGTCCTACCTTACAACAACATAATAATATATAGTATATTTTTATCACTTTTTGATTAAATATCAAATGACCGTTTTACAAAGTATGACAATTATAAATTATTTATTATCTTAGTAGTAATATGTTAGTACCACCAACGAAAATCGCTATCAAGGAAAATATTTTATTATATCAGTTCAAAATTAAGTTCTAGGAATAACGTGTTTGATAGACCTTAAAAATGTCCCATTTCCTATTATACTCTGACTTTGAGTTAGTATATAGCTAGTAGTTAAAAGCTACTAGTAGTTAAATGCTTAAATACGTTTTCAAATTTTCTTGAAAATCTTCATTGTTCCCACTACACGTGTTAGAGACAAGTAGACAGGAAAATAAGAGTCCATACGTCTACAATTGTCATTATTTGACATGTGCGAAATTGGTTAAGGTATTCTTTTTTGGAATTATTTAGTTTGTTTTTGTAAGTTACAATTTATTTTAGAACGCTTATCGAGTAAATAATCATACTAGATTTTTGAATAACTTAAGTTATCTACTCGTTTTCATTAGAAAAATAATGATTGAATAATATCAAGTATCTTTTCTTTTTATTTTTTCTTATTCTCATTTAATTAATAATAAAAAACATTAATAAAAATGCCTTGGACTATAACCTAATCTAACCCCTAAAGTTATAGTATATTTAAAAAACAAACAAATTGTTACTTAACTTAAAATAATATTTTCAGTAACTGTTTCATAGTTAACAAATACTCTTGTTTGCGCATATTTATGTCACTTGAAATAAATATATATATTTCTTGTACATTTTATATTTTTAATACTAATAATATTTAAAAAAAAAAATATATATCATTGCCAAAACATCATTTATTTTTGAATTTTCTACATAAACAAATCTTACATAAATTACTTTGGTTTAATGACTATTGGAATAATGTAATTTCTTTTTTTCCTTGAATGTTATGTCAAACTTGCTTAACTAATTTTTGATGTTCTGATTAAATATTGAATCAAAATTAAACCTTAATTTATGTATGATTTTTATAAATAATTATAAAATTACAAAATCATTTATAAAACTCTTTAGATGTATATTTTATAGTTCATAATCAGTTTGTAGTTTATATTTAGTATACAATAGTACCCAAAACTAAAACTATATATTATACATTGAACTATAAAAAATGTAATACAATTTATTCAAATGTATTTCTTGTAATAAACATTCTATGTATCTTTACATTTATTTTTTTAATAATATTAAAATCTTTTCTCTTTTTTTTTTTTTATTTAAGGATACATATAAGTCATGTACTTCGAGAATTTAAGACACATTTATCTTGGTCTTGGTTATCATCATCATCAAATAATTTGCCTATTTCTGTTCGTTACTTTTACGTTCCACGTTTAAAATATGGCGAGACACCAGTTGATTGTGTTAATAACAATGTAATAAGTGATTCAGCTGACCCTTTGCAACTGCAAAAAAAACATGATTCTTCTTTGAATAATTTAATGTTTTATGAATGGCAAGTACCGGATACTGATTCAATCATATGTCCACCTTCTGCTGCATGTATCTTAATAGTTGTATCTGTAACTTCTATCAAGAATAAACAAAAACGTAAACGACAACAACATTTAAATATAAGTAATGAACATAGTGATTCAGATGCAGATAATAGTTTTGTTGTGCCAGAAAATCATGAAAACAAAAAAACTGTTGAAGGTAAATAGTTATTCATGCTAATTTGTTATAATTATAATTATTATTCAAGGAATATTTCATTGAATGTTATAGTATCATAGTGATATATTTTTTAATAATTAACTTAATATGGTTTATGTATTGTTCCCAATAAAAATTAAAATTCTATAACATATTTTTTTGATTTATAATAATTTATATTTTACAGATAATAATGAAACTTTAACAACCGATGACCAACCAGTGACTTTAAACAATGATAAAGATGAAGATGTATTACAAAACGCAGTATCATCTGATACTAATAAATATCCAAAACCACAAAAAGTTAATACTTGTGAAAAAATTAGTAAATTATTTTTGTTAGCTATATCTGGTCAGTCAGTTCATGCATTATCATATAGTTGCCACAAAAATGAAGATCAGCCTATTGCTATTCAACGTTTGAGTCGCTGGTTAGAATGGAGAAACATTGCTTTCATGTCATCTATATATCACATGATTGGATTAAGAAATTCAAAATTATATGGCCAATTTGGAAATACTCAAATTAAAAGCCAATCATCAAAAATAAATACTAACCTAGATTTATTATTGGATTACAAGAATTATGCTGCTGTTGTAGGAGAACATGAATCTTTTGAGAAAATATTTGTTGAAAAAAACTTTCGGATAAATAATCGTGGTTCCAAACCACTTGATAATGATACAGAAGATAAAAAAAATAAACCTTTAAAGTATAAAAAAGATATTTTGGATTCATATATTGAGCGATTGGTGAAAAATAATAAACAAAGGCGTCGCACTGGTAAGATTCATATACTTAATTTATCAATGGTTTTTATTTTTGAAATTTAAACTAGCATGATGGCTTAAAATATTATTTACATGATTTACCTTAACTTAACAAATCTTAAACTATGTATTATTAAGTTAATATAAAATAATTATTTAATAAATCAAACTCATTTATAATTAATTATAAATTGTTAAAATATAATTTGAAACTATAGATGTTGTTGAATTATGAATGATATTAATTGTACATCTACAAGTTTTTTAACTTATAATTTTTATCATAAAAATATCATTTTTCATATTTCAATGATTATTACAAGAAATGTAAAATGGAATTCTAAAAATATAATTTAGTAAATAAAAATTATATTATTTTAAAACAAATATTTTTTTTTACAATGATTAAAGTTCATTTATTTTTAAATTATATTTTTTTCAAGCAATTTTTATTTTAATATTGTTTATTTCATTTTTTAATAATAGTTAGAAAAATTCAATCTCTAAAAATCTCATAATTGATGTATACTTTGTGTCCATTGTTTTAGAAATGTATCAAAAATTGTTATATGACATGTGGATTCAAGTGGATGCAGTTGTTAGCAAAGAAGCTTTTCGGACTTTTTATCAACATAGTAGATTAATTCATTATTGCTTAACACCATTGTTATTTTTACCTTGGTAAATAAAAACACCTACCAATGTTATTTTAAATTATGTATTATTAATGATTTTAATAAATAATTTTGTTTTAATAGGTGGCGGTTAGAATCAGCTGCTACCCGAGATCATTTAGTGGATGCATCTAAATTAAGAAGTTTAGCTTCTTCACATGTTCCACAATGGCATAAACGATTATGTGCAAGGTTGACAGTTGCTTATGCTCAATATATTGAGACTGATCCTCTTTTTAGTGGTTTTCAACCGATTCAAATTGGTAAATCCCGTGTATATAGTGATGGGTGAGTTAATCTGTTAAAAAAAACTAATATAGTTAAAATAATTGATTTTGTTTATACTTTAGTATGATAATGGATCTGGATTGTACTAAATCCATAACTCGTTATTACAAAAAAACTATACCTGGAGCTTCTGGTGGATTACTTTTAATAGAAATTGGAGTGTGCCAGCCATTTTATTACATCAAGCTTAGTTGTATTGAAAGAGCACGAATTACAAATCTTGTTGAGAATTACAAAGATAAATGCAAATCGGTAAAAATTTGTAAATAATTATCAATCTTCAGTATATTTTAGAATAAATATATATGTTTGTGCTATTTACATTTATATTCAGTCTTGCTTATATTAAAAATATTAATTTTATAATTTATTTTTCTTTAGTATTGTCTTCTTGAACAATCTGAAAATATTATTCAGAATATGCACTTACATTCATTTACATACGACTTTCATGTACGAATACTATCAGATAGACTTAGTAAATTAGTAGAAAAACAGAAGGCTGGAAAAAGATGTAATTACGGTTGTGATATATTAATGTTGTTGGATCATAAAAACTCTATACAAAATAGTGCTAATAAAACGGGAAATAGCAATAAAAAAAACGTTATTGCTGGATTTCTAGATGATTTTTTGAAATATTACACATTACCACCATTATATTCTAGTTGCTTAGTACTAGCAGGTATTGTATTACTATTAATATTTCAAATGTATATTAATTTAGTTGTTAAATTATTTTATTTTATTTGTAGGTGTCATCAAGCGCAGTGAAATACCTGTTACTGGCCTCCAGCTATACGAATATTTAGTTGAAAACTGTTCGGAAGATTGTGAAGGAATGGCTGTTTTAAAAATTGGTGATAGCTCATTAACTGAAGATGATGATGGAGCATCTCTGTTTGATGATTTTGAAGATCATGAATTTCTAGATTCTCAGCATATTTTTGGAAATGATTTGACTGTAAGAACTACAAATTAATTGTTTTAAGTTAATATTAACACTTAAATAATACACATTTACTATAGGATTATATTCTTGTTCATCATATGGCTGGTAGTGATATACAACGAAGACAAGAATTGAAAAATAATTCAAATGCTCGTAAACTGGAAATGGAATCAGATGAATTTTTTACTGATAATCAGTATGAAGTATGTGGTTTATTTGATGCAACACTTGTTATGACATTGTCATCAGTAAAACAATTATTATTGGACACTAGTAATGAAATAACTCTATCATATTATGTGTTATTGACAAATAATGAAAATTATAATCTGAAAAAGTATGTTTAATGATTATTTTTATGTATATAAGTGGTAAAGTGTATAATGTGTATAGTATTGTTCATTTTTGAAGTCGTCTATGCAGCAGTGAATATATGAACACATTGTGCCAAAACAACTTATAACCTCAGAAAAAGTTTTATTTTATTGCATTAAATATTTTAGAATATTGTAATATTTTAAAGTCAAGTTATAAAAAAATTGTCTGCTGAATAACAGAATTAATTTTTTTTTTTTTTTTGGTACTGACATTAAAATAATTATTTTTGAATCAAAGTTATCTAAATCTATGATAGTGGATAGACTTTTTCAAATGTTATGTACTAATATTAGTTGAACCAACCCTATGAAATAACTTTGTTTTATTATTTCTATTGTCATATTACTAAATTCTACATTAGTAAAAACTAACTAACTAAAATTAATAATAGTGGCGTGTCAAACAAAATATTTGGGTATGCCCATTTTGTTCTAAACATTTGGTTCTACTTAGATTTGGCTTATCATACGAGGAGAGAAATTTTTTAAATTTTTAAATTTTTTTTTTTTTTTTTGACTGTTATATATTTTATAATATGGCTTATATCAAAAATACTTAGAAAAAAAATAAATTATTACATTATTGACTAATTTTAATATACTAATATTGTTAAATTAATAGTAAAATTTATTTTAAGCTAAAGCAGACTTGAATTACTATTTAAAAATAGAATTATGAACATAAAATAAAACTTAATTTTAAAAGTAGAATACATTTATCTATGTTTTGTTAGATTCTTTAGATAATATTATCTATGAACCTTGAACATATCTGATGTATTTGATAAATTTATGTTTACATAAGATAAAAAAATTATGACTTAGTCAGCCTACTTTGTAATTATACTACTGTTAAAAAAAAAAAGAAACAAGTTAACAAAAAAACATTATATTGAAATGTATAGCGCTTACTATTTATTTTATACTTTTTCTTAAAATAATAGATTAGTGGAATAATTTGTTTTGGCGCCATGTGTCTGAACATATTATAGGTCATTTGATTAAGTTATAACATTCATATTCTATACTTAAACAATTTTCTTATGGGTTAATTTCATGTAATTTCTTGGCAATGTTAATTAATTCAATTTGTTATTTCTATAATTTAAGATTTACACTTTTCCACTGATACAATATTATATATTTAAGTGTGCACGTTTTTTACTCTGTATTTATTTATTTTTTTTACTAGACAAAAAACTGCTTCTCTTAAAACCATCTGCAATATGCAACAAAGAAAAAGCACACCTGTTCGTCCACCTGATCGTAGATTTAATCAACCTAATGACCAATTATTGTCTGCTAGTGTACCTAGTAATAGTGTTGGTAATTCTTTAACATCTGAGTCAGCTATTTGTGGTGGAAGTTTGGATGAAAACAATACCTTTCAAAATTGGTCTCAATTACCACCAAATCATTTACCGTATTTTAAGAAAAAATGTAAAAAAAATAATGAATTTGTTTATGATGATTTGAATGAACATCATCAACAAACTATTAAGAAAAGAAACCTTATAAAATTCTATGAGAAAAAAGCAGCAGAATTGGTCGCACATACTGTGGATACAGCAGCTAATCGTTGTCGTATACATTTACTATGGAAATTATTTGGTGTACCAATCGATCAACAGGTGAATAATAAATCAAATAACTTATCTATTATTATAAATGAATTAAAATCAAATTTGTATTTTTTTTGTTTAGAAACTTGGGATTATTGACGTTACATTTAATCAACTAGAAGAACTAGTGCATACAGCTGTTTTTGTAAAACCACTATGCGAATATGACATTAACTACCGTCATATATTAAAGCTACTTCATAAACAACCACAATGGTTTACTTCGTTACACAAAATGATCTCTGGACAATCGACATTATTACTGGAGACGACTTCCACATTACCACCACAGTGTCGTATTTATAGTAGTAATAAATCAGAACATCAATACATAGTAGTCTTACCAAATCTAACAGAATTTGATGAATTTGATGCATTTGTAATAATTGATAATGGAATCGATTCAACAGAGAAACTTGTTTCCTCGACTGATTCATTAGTAAATATAGTTTTTAGAAGAAATGTAAGTGGATCTGATGAGATAGCTGCACTAGTAGAAACTGTTGGAGATGCCATATGTTATCTTATTTGGCAATCAATCAAATAAATATCAGAATGTTAATAGTGTCGCCTTATGTTATGTAATCTTAATGAAAATTTTAAATAGCCTAGATCAAATATCTTAGTAATATTAAACTATACCTAGTATAATTTTGTGCCATTTATATAGCTATATTATTATTGAGTCTAGTCATTTAATTTTCCAAATATGTCAACACCAAGTTTAGTTAATAATGTATGATAACCATTGAATATTTTACCTTATCTTTTATAACAGTTTTAATGATAATAGTTTATATTATATACTAAAACATATTACTCTTTGGTTATAAAAAAAAAAATAAATTGTTTTTAGTTAAGTGTAAAATTATATTTAATAACCAAGATAATTTGAGAAGAACTGTATTTTTCTAAATTATTATATGTGAATAAACCTAATTTTTACTCAAAGTCTGATGTAAAGAATGCTGAATTTTGCAAATTATATGCAAACGTGATTATTTACAAACATATAGTACAATTTTATTTTTAAACGACTGTTGATACAAAAATTGAATATTATAAAAGTTAAATTTTTTGTTGCATTGTATTTTATTGTTACCAATTGATATGATTGTTTGTCTAAAATTGTAAATTCCAAATCGTTCAATCTATTACTTTTGCTCAATGTTTTTAATTATTTTTATTATGTTGTTGAATTATTGATTCTAAGTGAGATTTTTTTATTTGAATGAAACAATTTTTGTAATTTAGTTAAGTTATTTAATTCATTAATATTATGTATCTGACATGGTTATTGTTTTATCTTTTATAATAAATAATTATTGAACTGACCTTGTTATTTTATTTTTATTGAAGTTAGAGTTTTATTCAATCTCATTGTATATCAAATACCAAAATTTGATTGTATAAAATATAAAAATTAACAATTAGCCAAATTACTTTAACTATAATTTATTTATATTTAAGAATTTATTACAAGGCTTATGTATTTATTGTGTTATTTAAAATAATTTTTAGAGCTTCCTCGTTTTTAATACATTAATAGTTAAAGATTTTATTATAAAAACAAGATTATAATAAAAAACACTGGAAAAAAAATTGTCGATGTTGTTTTTACTATTTGATACACCTAAAAAATGTATTACTCCTTAAAAATTCTTGTTATGATACAAAATATTTAGTATAATAGTATTATAGTATTTTTAAGCATTTATTAATGGTATTGTTGGTATTAAATATGAAACAATTATACAATTACATTTTATGATTGATATTTACTACAGTACTTAATCCATGATTAAGTATATTTGTATAAAATATATTATAGTTATATAACTTATTAAGTTGTTCTCATCATATTATTTACTATTTTACATACAAATCAAAATTATCATCCCTTAACTATTACAGATTTTTTTGATTGATTAGTTGGTTATTAATATTAATACATATAGGCATGATTTTGGAAAAAACATTTTTTAAACAATTCAGAAGTTAAAATTTTAAGTACTTTTCACCAAAAATTTAAAGCTGAAATTTTATTTTATATGTTATTTAAATATTCCAATCAATTAGGTTTATAAACTTAAATAAATAAATAATTTAAACTTAGAAAAAAATGTATTTTTAATAAATGCAGATATTTATTTATTTATTTAAATTTTTTTTCAATTACATATTTTAATAATTACCTACTTACTTAAAGCTTCATAGAAATTCATTAATTGCTAAATATTATTAATATATAATGAGATTAAAAAATTTCAAATAACCGATTTATATAATAGCAGTTATATTAATATAGTAGATAAGTATTTAATCTGGAAAATTAAAAATAACTAAATTTAGGGAAAATAAAATAGGTGGAAATTGAAAATGTGTGCCAATTAAATAATATTAAGAACTTTGAATTTAAATAATAAAATTGTCAAGCTATCATAGTCATTGACTGATAAAAAAAAAAAAAAAAACATTAAATTATGTACTTACATAAGTATTTATAATTTATAATTAGGAATATAAATCATATTTATTATTTTACATAATTGGTACACATTTTAGTGTATTAATTGTGTTATGGCTTAAAAATTTTATTGGAACAATTATAATCAGTAATTTTATTCTTATAATTACTTTAATTAGTATAAAATATATAATTGATATTTTTCTTAAAGCGCCTACTGTCTATTATATTATATCAAATTACATATTTAAACGATTAAAAACGATGTAAATCATTTTTTTATAATAATTCAAAAACCATAAGTAGGTACTTGGAATGGGTAGGTACTCGAAACTTTTACGTATATTTTATACGCAATAAAATGTTTAAAATATCCAATAACGCTCATTTTACCATGAACCTATTCGCACTGTTTTATAGTTAAATGGTATTGACTCAAAAATTAATAACAATAATAATATATCTAATTTAGTATTAATAATGTTTAAAAAATGCAATCTTTTATTCAAAAATGATATCAACCTACTGTAATATTCATAGTAAAATAAATCGCTTAAATAGCAATATTAAAATACATCATTACATGAATAAACATATCATGAAATACGTTTAGTGTGCCTACAGGCTTATTGCTTGTCTCCGCTTAGAGTCGTTTTTCGTATACAGTAATACCTATATACAATGTGATATTCAAACTACAATATTACATACATTAACAGTGACCCACTCAATACTGGTTACTGCACATCAGAGCGGTATTTATTTGTCCAACTTATCTTTATTGACCATAGTTTGTGTGCATTAGTCGTATAAGGTGGTGTATAATTTATATATACATATATATCTATAATAAATTATATGTTTATATATTTATGTATAATTTAGCTGACATATTTTCACTTTTCAGTATTGTGCCTCATGCATGAGCGAAATGTGATGCACGTTCGTGTATGTACCTAGCGGTAAGCAGGTATCCATTTTTATTAAACATAGACTCTAACATCAATATATTATGCAAGTAGGAGTACCTACCTATGTGTTAACGTGTAAATAACTAACTACCTATAGAGAACCAAAAAACCGTCGAAACGTTGAAGATATAATATGTAGATTCAAGAAATGTCAGATTTCGCGCGGTTGCGTTGTATTTCTCGTTTTTTAATACCGTGCAAATGTGAATAATAGCATGTACCTATTATGTTATATAAGTACACATATTGTGTATAATTTACCAGATATACACGTTTACGGATATTATTATGTATTGTATATCGTTACGACGACTACGATGACTGCACGATTATAATATGTAATATACATACCTACCTATAATATACATACACCGGTAATGTGTATATACATATTACAAACATAAAGGAACAATCGACCGTCAAGGTTATTCAAATTTAGCGTTGCTGAGGTAGGTAGTGAGGTCACCACACGTACCTATATATTACAGCAGACTCATATAAATATATAATCCTTTCTATATTATATTGTTACACGCAAAATGTGCATCTTTACACATACAATATATATGTGTAGATGTGTATATATATATAATAAGTAATAACTAATAAGCTACTCTGTAATATTTTATAATTTACGATTACAATTATTTGTGTAGCACACGACACTCACAGAATAATATACGAAATCGTTTAGGTACATAAATGTGCAATATATAGATAATTAAAATATTAGAAATGATGAAAAACATTACCTATATTGTAATTTTATTTAGTATACTAAACTGTGAATATAAATAAGACCCACTATATAAAGGCCTATATAGTGCTTACTACTTATGGCTCTAAATTTGGCACTTGTAAATTGCTAAGTACCTATATACCTACCATGTATATATAATATGTACAGATGTAGGTACTTTATATGTGCAATAAATCATCGCACGCAGATCAACCACCCACGTCATGTATATATACATTCGATATATCGAATACGAATTTATAATAAATATATGTTTTTCATGTTCGATGTGCAGATTTGCGGGTGAGAGCCATTTTCGATTTAGCCATTTTTCGATCGTTAAGTACTTACACTGTACTGCTACAATGACAATATCAGATATTATGTCGTGTCAAAAAAAAAAAATGTCTTATAGATATATCAATAAGTAGGTGGTTAAATTATTAAAAAATTTTATTTAAATTAGTTCGTGTCTCCTAAAAATTAGTGGTTTTAACTCCAATCCCTTTTATCCGTGTGCCGTTCAAAAATATGACGTATGTTTTTAGAATAACTAGGTAATATATCTCTCCTCCCGCCTTCCCCACGAGTAAAACAACTTCGTATAATCTAAAGCTTGTTTAATAATATTTAATTATTTTTTTACTGTTTTAAAAGATTATCTTGATTATAATTTGTATTTTGTTAATTACACGAACGCCGTCCATGTATGGTTCATAAAAACATAAATCAATAAAGAATTATTTTATAAAAACAATGAACATGGAAAACTTTCCTAACTTTCTTACAGCCAATTCAAAAGTAATAATATTATTTTATATAATTTTTCTTGAAAGCGATGTAATATTTCTAATTAAATATACGTTTTAAACTAAATTATAGTCTAACTAAATATGTAGGTACCTAATATAGGTACTACCTAATAATGTTTTTCAAAAGTAATTAAACTAATCCGCTGTTTAATTAATATAAATACTCAAATCATATAAAATATATAAACGATTTTATCTTAAATACGTTATCCATGTTTTATTAATTTTACTATTAAATATCATTATATCAATAATGTAATATCATTTGTAACAATCAGCACATATTCAAATGTAATTAAATGTGTAATGGCCTAAAAGCTTATTAAAAATGAAGTATAAAAGTTTCATTATCATAGTTAGATATTTAAATTATGAAATGTATGTATAGTTAGTATTAAACTAAAAATGTCAATTACTCAACTATATATATAATAATAATTATTAAACATCATTATAATGAATAATGTTGTCAAAACTCGCAATCATCATATATTTCTTTATTCCAGTGTAATTAATCTATAATTAAATAATTAATTATAGTTTTTATTCACAATAATATCTATTCTATAACTATATAGTTATAACATTTAAAGTTATTTTCCTTTTATCACTAAAATTTATCAAAGTAATGCAAATTAATTGCTAATTATTATTTGACATTCACTAATCAAAATTATAATTATAGATAATTTTTTGTCAATTTTAAGTAGCCCTCTTCTTATAAAATTTAGTGAAACAATTTAAATCCATTGATTGGAATCTTGAGACAAACAGGATGATGGAAAGATTGATAGAAATTATCAAGAAATTCGAAAAAATTACAATTTTGATTTATATATTTTATAATGTAATTTTTAAATGTTGACATCATTACAGAACGAATCGAACAAAATTAGGGTTCCGTGAAGTTGACCTTATCCCCCAATATAAAAATTAATTTGCAGTACTATCCATAATTTGCTAATTCTAAAAAGTAATTTACAACTATTTTCATTTTATTTGCTGAACATTTGCACTTTTTTGAATTAATTTTATAGATATGGTAAAGAGGCCTTCAACTTTATAACTAGAGCCTAGATTTTATTGCTGTAAACACCTGAAAAACTTGCAATTCAAATACTAAAAGGTGCAAAAATGTGTATCGTGAATTACAGAACAATAAATATTTTTTCAGTTTAGATACCTTTGTCAATTTATACTTCCATTATTCTTATTGAACACATAACAATCGTTGTGACTGCATGAGAATCCGGTCTTTATATTATGACCATATCCATTACATTCGATTTACCTATCCAATATATATTATGTCAATATGTGAGAGACAGAGTTAACGTGCATCATCATCAGCTTGGACCGGCCACAGTTGTCCTCTCTCTTTATTGGTAACGGCGACAAGCAACTATTCAGAGAAAAAGGTAAGACTGTCATTCCCATCCCTTATGTATAGAAGATAAAGGGTAATCAATTGCATTCTACAACACACAACTGGTACAAATAATAGATCTTTGGTGAAACCAAGCTAATATATTTTAAAAAAACTTATAAAATATGTATATTGTACAACGGAGTATCTATTCTTATTATTTCATAATATCTATAAAAATAAATATCTAATTACTCAACTACTATACTTGTCATTCAATACTTCAGTAGTCATAGGCCAGTTTGACTACAACGGTTATTGAATTAATTTTTTTTTCAGAGTGTGTCTTATATTTTATAAAACGTATTGTACTGTTTTGTATTTTTTTTAGTAAAAGTGAGTTCGTTTATTTATATTTTAGGTAGGTATTTTTCATGACCGACAGTAAAATTTATAGCAAGTTCATGCAACAATTTTCGAGTAGGTATCATATACCTAAACATTTTAACGAACTATAATAAATTTATAATAAACTTTAAGTACAGCATAAGGTTTATTGAAAGAAAAATATTAAAAGTTATATAGAACCTTCGAGTTAAATATATATATATATATATATACATAGGTATAATAACAATTATCAGTAATAAAATAATTACCATCTACCTATCCACAGCATTTAGGAATTTTATTTTTATTAACTAAAATGTACACACAATTATTTAAAATTTTAATTTTAATTAAAAAATTCTAAAAAAATGGTTAGCAATAATTTGTAAGTACTACTAAGTACTTAGCATAATGATTTAATTACTTTGGAGTTTGGATTAATTTTAATAATGAGCTAATTTCATAAATTAAATCACATAGATATCTAATATAGAATACATTTTTGTGTATAAATACTTTATTTTATTAGTTAAGTGCCTAATTATTATAACCGATCTTTGTTTTTAATATTATATTTGATAAGACGTTAAGGAATTAATTATACTGAAATATGTGATAATTACGAGTCAAGACAACATTCATTATAATGATGTTTAATAATAATTATATGGTTGACATTTTTAGTATAATATCAACTATCTTTGTATTTTATAATTATAATAATAATAAAACTATTCAACTACATTTATTCCAAACTTGATGAGTCACGCTAGTTATTACCATCATACATTTAGTGACACTTAAATGTGAGCTGATGTTACAAATTATACAATATTAATATAAGTATAGATAATTAATAATAATTCATAATAATTCATAAAGTAGAAGTTTTTAAAATAATATTAAATATGTATTTTAAAGTATTTGAATAACGTTAAAATAATAAAAATCGTTTAAGGAGAAATAATGTAGTGGTTTTATTTTTTTCTGTGGTAGGGTTGTTTGTTAAAAAAAAAAAGACCATTTTAATTTTATTTTGTCAGGTTAGCGTAGACAGATCATGTTGAAACTTCATGACTGACACGAGTGGGGCGACTCTATAATTTATTTAATTATAATATAGGTACATTTAACATAAAAATATTGTGCAATTTGACTTAAAAACATAAATGCTTAGAAAAATATCGAATTGATGTTCCAAATCGTTTCGAAAATGTTTTATTTAATTAGAATGAGCTGAATAAACACTACAGACTACAGAGTACAGTTTGATTTACCTGCAGGTTATAATTCAACAAACGTAGTGCATACCGATTCTACTAAGAATAATTATCAGAAATCGGAACCGTCTCTTATCAGTTATCAGTAATAAGTAGGTACTTGAAACTTGAATACAACCATACAAGTAGTATAAGACGGTTATGGTAGGTATATCGCAAGTCGCGTAAAAAATTAAACTCATTGCGTTAAACGAAATTCAAGAGATCATTCGCTGTCGATCAAATGCGTTCTGTGATTGTTTATGCAACTTCGCGATATTAAAAAAAAAAAAAAATCTATCGAGAAAATCATTCGTAATGTGGGGCCGGTGTTTCGTATCGTGCGCGCGCATACCTCGGCCGCACGAAGGATTAATATTAATATTATTAATTTATTTTTTATTCGGAGATTTTAAACAATAAATAATGTACCTGAACGAAATTTAAAACATAAAACCAATAACAATAATGATATCGTTTAATCAAAATACAATATTATCGTTTCGCGGTTTTGAACATCGCATCGTTGATTGCCATCGCGCAGAACGCGATACGGCGGCGGCGGTCGCAGAGTACAGCGTACCTCCACGAACGGTAACGAATACGCACACCGCGTACGGCGGCGCGCCGTTTTCGCCTCCACGCGCTGGGTTACCGTCAAAATGGCCGATGCGCCGTCGCCGTATCCGTGTTTTTATTTATTTATCCTCTACCCCGCCCCTCCGCGCCGCAGACAACCGATCGTCCGGCACCGCTCTCACCCATCGCCGATCGCCGACCGACCGACCGACCGACCCGTCGCCTCACCACCGCTATTGTAGTCACCGTGCCGGCGCGTGTTATTATCGCGTGCGCGCGTGTGCGTGCGTCCGTGTGCGCGAGAGCAGCCGCGCGTGCGTGTGCTTGTGCTCGCGCGTCCGTGTGCGTCGTGCGCGTGTGTGTCCGAGCGCGTGCGTGTGTGTGTGTGTGTGTATTCAACATTGGGTTTTATTATTGTCACCAGCGACATCAACCAACCAGCATACCGCGCCGTCGAATCAGTGCCATTTCGTCCGGTAAAATTGTGTTTCGCAACCGTTGTCGGTCTCGTAATTTTCGGCGTCGGGCAACGAACAGACCGTGTACTAACCGTCGTCGTCGTCGTCGTCCGCGAAACGCACACCACCGTTTTTCGCCGTCGGTACGCGTTATCGCGCGTTCTCGGCCAGTCTCTCTCGCCGTAACGGAGCGCGAACGAACGTGCGCGCGCGCGCGAGCCCCGACATCGCCGTTTGTTGTCGGCCGTCGCACCGACCTCCGTGTGCACCGAACGAACGTTTCGCGGCAACATGCCGACGCTGTAGTCGCCGGCTCACACCGCCTTGGCCGCTTCAGTGCTCGACGACCGTAGCCCACGTCTGACAGTAAGGTGATAGTAGCTAGTCTGTCGATCCAGCCCGGTTTCTCCGTATTGCCAATGGTCGTGTCGTGTGCGTTCAAAGTCGGCGGGCCGTGAAGACCATGCCTCGAGAGACGGCCCAACTGCAATCGGACGACGCTGGCGATGGCGATGGAAATGGCCGAAACAAACGCAGAACCGTCCCATAACACACGGTGGCTCCGCATACTTTCGTCTAGTGCCGCCGACTGTACACCGCAGTGATTATAGTTGGTCCGCGTGAGTCTTAACATTCATCCATAATAACATTATGTCACGTCAATATCTTGTTACGGCGTGCCGTGTATTGCAATTAGCGTTGTGTTGAACACATTCGAACCATTGTTCACCGTTTTTTTTTTAAATGTCTTATGTCCATTCCAAATCGATATTGTTTGATAACGTTGACCAATGTTAGTCGTAAAATTATTCACTTGTTCCATATCTATTTCTGTGTGTTGTAGGTATGTGTTGCCCGTGTTGTATTCACTTTTTAACAACGTTGAATCTAAAGCCTCTGATAGATCTTATTCTACTTATTTATACCTACTTATTGTTAGCCACTCTAAAGAGAAGTTAAAGTGATTCAAGAAATGATTTAGACCACTGTATAGTTTTAGACTACTGAAATTTATGTACTTCATTGTACCTACCTATAATTGTATCTAATGATAAAAAAAAAAAATTCTCTATATAAACTTTATAGGTGTGCGTATTATTATTCATGCAATCATTTCGAAGTTGTTTTTATAACAACTGTACTAAGCTTGATAATATTTTTTTCCTGTAAAAATTATTTTGTAGAATTGCTAAGAACAAAGGTTAAAGTCCAGTTAAAACATTAATTTTATTTTTGATTAGGTAGTATACTTTTCATATTTTATCTTAATGTGTTTACCTAATTACAGTATTATAATAATATATCTTAATATTTTAACAGATAGTAATACTTAGTGATTGCATTTTGATGACTTTTAAAATGTATTCAGTGCTTATTGATTATCTCATCAGTTATCTCTGATACCATTATTAATTACCATAGTCTTAGACTACTTGTGATATGGGTTATCCAGGACTAAACCATTCTCTTTTAATATTTACTATTTAATTTTTTCTACTAAATCTATTATAATATTATAGGCATGATTAGACTTTTTTAAATAATTTTGTAGATGTTAGCTGTTACCTATAAACCAACTTTGACTGTGAATATTTAATTTTTTTACCAATAAATTATATTATGTTATATTTCAATTACATAACAATTTTACTCTTTTATTTTTTTTTTGCTTAAATTAAACAGAAATAAACCTATAACTTTACATCATGATTATTCCCGTGATTATTGCTACACTTTTTATCTAGGTATGTGTAAAATTCCATTATTTTAAAACAGTTTCATAGTATATTTTTCCGTTTTAGATCTCGGAGCAGTTTCATTAATCCAAAATTGAGTATTATTAAAAAACCTCAATTTAGTATCTAATAATAAATTAATTTATAAACATAACCAATAGGTAATATTATTTAAATAATAATATGTTTGTAGGTTCATAATCTTAGATTTACTATTATTTATGGTTATATTAGTCAAAATAACCTATACTTTAAAATAAACTTATTAAAGTAACATACTTGTTATAATATACATATTATAAACTTACCAAAAATATTCTACCAAACATATAAACTAAAATTAACAAAAAATATTTAGGTAGGTATATGAAATTAAAAATAATAGACTTTTTTAGTAAGTCAAAAGAAATTTAATTTAAAATTAACCCGTCAAAAGGCACATTCTTATTTGTATTGTGGTTAGGTGCGTATGAACATATTTATCCATTGCATTTTGAGTGATACCCAAAAATTTAAAAATTTACAAACACATTGTGAACTTGTTAAGCATACAATTAAGTTGCATATTTTAGAATATTTTATAAATTGTGTGAAAAAAATATTTTATTACAATTATTTATTATTTATTTTACCCTGAAAATCATTGTGATAAAAAAAAAAACATCCAACTTATGACAGCACTTAATCATAAATCACCGTACCGTTCACTAAATATGGTGGCTGATCTGCAATTCTGGTAGTTGATTTCATCATACTGGTAAGATCAACGTATACGTTTATCAAATATTCAAACATCCAAATTTTGTTTTACTCTTTTCTATTTATAACTCTTGTAATTAGTAATTTTATATGAACATTAAAATGAATAAATTAAAAAAGTCAGTCAATTTTAAAAACTTATTAGGTATGTTTTATATTTGTTATTTTTTCATATTATGACTATAGTGTTTAATACAACATTTAATTAAACTATACTAAAAGAATATTGTATTTAAATTTTAATACTATATAGACTATACTGTTATATTTTTACAATATTCCTACACTTACTGATGTACAGTAGTATTCCATTTTAACACGCAAATACCTACCTCAAGTTTAAAAAAATGTAAAAAAAAAATTGTAAAAATGCATATTAGCGCATATATTGATGTTTGTTGATTATTTTTGCATATTTTCGAATATTTATGCATGTTTTTAAGATTTTTATGAGAATATAATGAAAATATTTGAAGGTTTTTTTAGAGAATATCAGCATTATATTTAAGGTATTTTAAGAGTATATAAATCCGGTCTTAAGTTATGAGTATAAAAAATATTAATATCAAAACTAATAACACATTAAAACTAGTGAACAAAAATTTACTATGTCATACATGTGTAAGACGGAGAAAACACATGCGAGTGCGACTTCATCTTAAGTACTATAAATATAATATATTTAAAAATTTAATAAAGTAAAATATTTAAAGTAAAAATGTAATTTTTTAGTGTAATATGGGAAAGTAATTTTTTGTTAGGGCATATTTAACTGCATATTTTTATTGAATTGGTGCATTAATTAGTGTATATTCTTAATTGAATATTTGATGATTTTTTTTTATTGCTCAAAAGCCCTTGCTTCACTTATCACTCATAACCTACTTTCCGAGTTTCAATTTTTATGTATTTAAATACTCAGAATATGAAGTTAAAAATATATGTTGTCATTTAAAAAATATAACAATAAAATTATTATTTATTTTTAATGTTGTTTTATTTTAATTGGAAATTATGTATGAAAAATATTTTCAAAAACATTAATTGATTTTAAAGTTATGCGTGTTGTTAAATAAAAGAATCACTGTATAATAAAATGTATATTAACCAATTGTATATTTTTAAATAAAAATGTATTAGTTAAAAAAATATTTATTTATTATTGTGAAACTTAAAAACATTAAATTTTACTATGAATGTAATTTAAATATAAACTATTAAATTTTTCAAAGTATAATTGTTGATTCCCAGTTTTATTCTCAAAAATGACTAAATTACTCTTAGGTATTTAAGATTGGTAAAATATTTTAAGTATATCAAAATAATAACGGTTTAAATGAAATATGGTAAATCAATAATCATGCTGAACACTGCAAATAGCTTATCAAAATGTTTACCAAACATAATCAGTTATTTTGTTGTATAAGCTCTACTGGCAAAATTTCTACTGCAGTATGCCCTCTACCATGATTTAACGACTGTATTTAGATTTTAGACAATATGTTCTTATAATAAGTGGATAATGTAAAATTCGTTTGAATGACAAACAGAAATTCTTATAAATAAGTAATATATTATTAAAAATTATTACATATTATCGACATTATCTGTGGTCTTAATTATTCGTTTCATTACCATTAATATTTATAAATATTAAAATAATTTTGAAAACAAAATATTGTATTTCTATAAACTATCATAATAAATAAAGTAAATAAATATGAAAATATTTAGGCCTTATCCCTCACAAATGAGAAAAAATTGTGCTAGTAATATAGAAAGCAGTTGTGAATTCAAGTATTCTCTCCCAATGACTAAATATGTGATAAAAAAATTATAGAATGCAGGGAAAGAGAATGCTTATCTTTGTAAATAATAACCATTAAGTTACCATAATAAAGATAAAAATCGCATAGTAGAGCGCGTATCACAAGATAGCCATAATTAATAGTACAAGCAATACTTACAAGTAGGTATAACATAAATGTTTGTCCTTAGCTGTATGTTAAAATGTAACAGAAATAATTTATTATTTTATCTTTAAATAAAATTTATTCTAGGTAGGTATCTAATTTAATTTAAAATTCAACATAATAAGTGTATGATTTTTATTTTATTTGTTATTTTACATCTGGTACCTATTTACAATGTGTGGGAGATCAAAGTAATTTAAATTCTGTACCTTGTTCTATTTGCATTGAAATTGAGCATAAATAGAATAAATAGAATAATGCTGGCTTATTCATTTAATAACAATTAAAACTGAACCTTTAAAACATATTACATGTACTTAACTATTTTAAAAATTATTATTTTAAACAGCTACTTACAAGAAAAAAAAAATAAAAAAATAGCTAATTAATTTAATCTTTCTTTTTACAAAATATTTTTAACTTTTTATAAAGTAATAAATCACAATGCTAAAATGTTGGAATTGCAATAAAATTTAAACCATAATAATTTTTAATCTGTATACTTAATTATTATTATTATTATTATTATTGGCTGATTATAAGCTATACCTAGTATACTAATAAGTATAGTAATCAGAATATTCCTTAATTTTTTTTTTGTAATAATACACTTTTTGATTTGTGCTTTTAAATAAAAATTTAGTGATTCATCATAATTTTGTTTCAATTAGCCCTGGCACATGTCAGTTTGTTTAATTGCTTAAATATTTATTACCTTCATGTATAGTTCTATTATATGTGTTAACCTATTTAATACTGTTTGCTTTTTTCAATTTTATAAATAATTTTTATTGTAATTTTTTAAACATATTTTTAGAGATATTGTAAGAACCAGGAATGAATAAAATATGTATCATTAAACTCAAAATAAATAAATTATCACATAAAAAGTTAAGCCTTATTATCTTTACTTTAACTATAAAATGTAATATATATATATAAATGGTATATTAAGTTCTTAAAACATATTTTGTCTTATCAATTATTTTAATATGTTCATGACTTCATAGTAAATTATATAAATTGTGATTTATGGTGGTGTTAAGTGTCGTCTAAGATAAGCTTAAGAGATTGGTGATATATTCTGTGTACACATAATAATATATGATATAATATATAAATGCTCAAAAACAACAAAATGTGTAATATAAATAACAAAATATGCATTTAAAAAATTGTTCAATAAAATCAGTTCTTTCACGATATATGATTCAGTTAAAAATACAAATCTATTTTAATGGATGTGGCTTTAAAATTATACTTCACTAGTTATGATGCTAAATAAAATTAATCGATATATTAAATCATTTACATATCATACATAGTATTGGTTTTTACTATTAGTTAATTAATTTAATTATTTTTTTTAAACAGCTCCACAAAAATTATAATCACTAGCTTACGCGTGTGATGATCAAGGAGAAGCAATACATTGAAACAAAGTCTTCATCGTTTAGTAGTGAAGGGGACCCTAGTGCTGGGGATGATAACCAAATGATCAAAACACCAGATAATAATAGTGGTGAACTTCATCACGATTTGGACAGAATTATCAAAACCGAATCTGATATGACAGCTTTAATAGATAATGCTGGTGGGGATGTAGGTGATAATAAAAGTGGCGTTGGTGGAAATGCTAGTAGCAATACTTCTCCAGGTGCTTCTAACACTGACCAAAAACAACAATTAATGTCAAATGATATTTGTCTTAGTCAAAGTGAGTTATAATTCTAGATTATTTTCTTGAAAAAAAAAAAAAGTCAGTACTAAAATTATTATTTGGATTCTTCAGTTAAGCATGAAGATAACAGTAATAACAGTGGCATTAAAGTAGAAGATAACAATACTACAAGTACAACCACAACTACTGTTGAATCTGACTTTGGTATGAATTTTATTATTTAATTTAATTTAAAATATTAAACCATATTTTTTTAGAATCGTGCGATCGAGTTGTACTATCTTCAATGAATAGTGGAAGTGGAGGGCCATCAGACTTAATTGATGGTTCTGGTGGTGTACAACCATTAATGAGTAATGTTTTAGGCCCAAATACTGCAGGCAACAAACAATCAAATACAACTAGTGGAAATATGGATGCCCAACAACAACAGTATATGCAACAACAAAGTCAGATTTTTGTATTTTCCACAAGCTTAGCAAATAAATCAGCTGAATCTGTATTGGCTGGCCAATATCCTACTATTATAGCTTATCATTGTGCTCAACCACGAACAAAAAAATTCCTAGAAGTATGGCAAAATATTTTTAAATATTCATCATATTAACGCCTAATTATATAAAAATAAAATTTAATACATTTTTAATTTTTATAGAAACATCCATTAAAAGTAAACCAGTTTAATAGACAAAATCCCGGACAATGGATGAATAATGTGGTTGCATCCCAACAACAAATGAAACATCAACAACAACTTAACAAAGGTATGAATCCTCATGGCGGACAACCAAAGTATGGTGGTAGTACACCTTATTCAAGAACAATGAAAAATAGCAATAGTCCATCAGGTTCCTCAATGGAAAATCCTATGATGCAACAACAACCAGGAGCAAGAATGCCAATGTGGAATCATCATCAGGTATAGTTTTAATAATGCATTTCTAATTTATATGCAATATTTTAGTTTATTTATATCAATAAAAATATGAATGTATCATTATGTTACTAATAAATATTTTAAGCAGTGGGTATCTGGAAGTTGACAATGTAGGTAATCTCCAAGAGTATAGAAATGTTAAAGGTGCAAACCTACAATACTTATCATTTTCTTATAAAAAAAAATCATTTTTGTTTTTAATTGTGTAAATAAATCTAATGAAACAATTTGCTCATGCTTGACAAATAATTATTTAAAAATAGAAAATCTATCATAAAGTAAGTATTTTTAGTTCAAATTGTAAAAATAAAATATTAAAAATATTTTACAAAGAGCACTTCTTTATCAGATTTTTTTAAAAATTATTGTTTTATTAGAATAGAACATTGACTTAGTTCAAATAATTATGACCATAGTAATTTTGAGTTGTTTATTTCTGTCTTCTGATTTACAATAAATATTGTATACTAGAAGATAATTAATTTTAAATTGTTAATAATTTCATGAAATATATTTTTAATTATCCTAAATTATTTTAAATTATTATTTATAGTTTAACAAATTCATTCTCTATGTATGTAAATTATCAATTTAATAACACCTAAGATTTCCGTGTGATTAATTTCTCTCAGCTTTCTCTAATTAACTATTTATAAAGTTCATTTTTTTCTCTTTTTTAAGTGTATTTGGAATTTTTATATTCTTTTTTAAGTTTTCTGTCTGTTTTGATCTTGATCCTTGGGATACTTTTCTCTTAACAATTTACTCTTTTCAATTACTTTTTGACAGACTATTTACATTTCAGATTCTTTATCTTGTTCTATATTACGATTTCTTTGATGAGCTAATTTGCTCTCATTTAGTCCAGATCCATGTTATATATGTTGGAATATTGAAAATTCAAATTCATTTTTGCCATACATTTCTGTTGGATTTCTGGATTTCTTAATATCTAAATGACTCTACCTTGAGATTTACTTTCCTTTTCTCCTTGAGCTTTTTATAATCTAATCAGTAAATTCTTGAATTTATATTATATAATGTCAGAACTGAACTATTTCTGTGATAAGTACGTTTCATTTTTATATTTTTATTTAATTATTTTAATAAATAAATAAATGTCAATAAAAAAAAAAAAAACATAAAATTGAATTATCTAAAAACATAATTAAGCATATAATATTTAATATAAAGATTAAACTAAAAATTCAAAATTATCTACTGAATGTGCATTATTTTCATATTTTTGCAAGAATAGCATTAAAACATTATGTAGTAATATATTTTATTATTAGGTATTACATTATTGATATTAATCACTTGATCATTTTACCTTTGACTGATATATTTTAGCTAAAACAGTTTTAATAAAAAATCATTTACCAAATTGTTTTGAATGAATCGTATTAAATATTTGTAAAAAATAATGTTAGACCTTTTTGTATTTATACTAATATACAAAGTAGTTGGTAAACTGGTAAATATATCATAATTTATAAATCAAGGCACTTTTTATTCATTATTATATTTAATAATACGAAACTAAATTTTATGCTGAGACTAAGTTTTAAATATTTTAAAGTGTACTTGTAATATAAATACATATTAAATATTGAAAAAATGATAAATTATGCGTGAAAAAATAACATAAAAAATTATAGCACCTAAAAATAAAATAAATATTATATAATATATCCACTGTCCACACTTTACATATGGCAATAGAAGGTTAAGTGATCGCTTGTTTTATAGTTTTATTATGATCAACATTTAATTTAATAAAAAAAAAAAAAAAAATTATAATAACTTGTATAACTAACTCATTTTAGGGTATTATTATTGTTGAATTGTAATTAACATAAATAATGGTTATATTGTATTTTATTTGTATTTACACTTAATATGATTTTATTGAATAAAAATATTAAAGATAAAAAAATTACATTTATTTTTTATTTTATCTTTAAGGGAAATAATATCAATGATTCTGGACCTCAACAGCTACAACATCCTTCAAATCATAATATGATGGGATCAATGTGTGGTCCAGGTAATAATGGTATTATGGGTATGTCAAATCATGGTGGTGGTGGATCAATGGGTCCTGGAATGTTAATGAACAACAATAATTCAAATCAATCAATGATGGGAACTGGCCCTGGTTCAATGATGAATCAGCATGGTATTTATTTTAAATTATTTTAATTTAAATGTTTATATTAACATAACTCTAAATTTTCAATTTTAGGAAATTTATGTTCTATGGGGCCTGGTAGTGGTGGTGGAATACCTATGAATGGTATGGATTTAGATTTAATGGATCATCACAACCCACATCACCAACAACACCACCCAAATCCACATCACCCATCTAATATGATGGATGGTGGTCATAGACCAATGATGGGTGGTGGTCCACATCATCCTCATCATCCACCTCCCCATCATCCCTCTGGTGCGCTTCACCATAGAAGTTCTCTTGGAATGGGTGGGCCTCCTCACCACCATGGTATGTCTGACATGATGACAATGGGTGGCCCTAATAAATGTCAACCATCTCCAATGGATAGTCTTATGTCATCATCTGGTGGACCACCAGTAGCAGTACCTTCAGGTCCGGGTGACTCCCCAGGTGGCCATAATTCTTTAGCCTCTATGATGCCATCGTTAGACTTTGATGATCCTATAGGTAGTGGAAACTCATCTCTAGGAGCAACATCACACCATTCATTAACTGGTTAGTATTTAATTGAAATCTACGTACATTACATCCACAAAACAATTTCAAAGTCCTTTATAATGCAATTATGTTTATAATACCAAGTACAAAAAGATTTACAAAAATTTAAAGCCACAAAAAATTTTAGGATGTTCAATTTATTTATAGTAATGAAAAAAATTTTCAAATGAGCTTTGAGTAATTTGATCGCTTTCCTTATTGAAAATAAATATATTTTAATAAGTATTGGGTACTATTTTACAATTTTTTTTTAAACATACATGTTTTATATTTTCATTTATTTTTTTAGGTGTTCAAGTACCTGATGAAAATTTGACTCCACAACAAAGGCAACACCGTGAAGAACAACAAGCAACTTTACGGAAACTTCAATTAGTATTATTTCCTGAAAACTCAAATAGTGGTGGAGGGCCTTCTCAGCAGCAACCTCCTCCTGTTACATCGTCGTCCTCTTCTGTTGGAGGTCCATTAGATAATTGCAGTGGAAGTGGTGGTATGGATGATTTAATGCCATCTATTGATGATGATTTAGATGTAGATGCTGTTGTAACAGCTGCAGCAGTAACTAGTTCTGCAGGTGATCTCTTGTTGCCACCTAAAACACCAACATCATGTTCATCTGATTGGCCAAAATCAATGTTTGGCAATGAAGATGAGAAGAAGAAAGACGGAGGACGTTGTGGTCCACCACCTTCTTACCATCAAACAGTAGCTCGATCTGCTAGTGTTCCTATTGTTTCTGTACCAAGTTGTAGCCCCAACTCACCATTAGCTGGCAATGGTACTGGAGTAACAAATAGCAATTTGTCGTTGCCATCTCCTCGCACATGTTCAGCGCTCAATTCTCCAGCTGGTGGTCGACCATCGTCGAATATGAGTCCTACTGCTGTACGATCTCCTGGTAGCAATGGATCAAGACTACAATCCAGTAATCCAGGTACACCAGTTCATATGTCGCCTGGCCACAATTCTTGTTCATCTATGAAACAACAAAAAGGACCGATGTCCAATGAATTTTCACCCTCATCTAACATTGCTACTCCGGGTCAACCTAGTGGTGGTGGTGGTCAACAATCTCCTGGTATATATTTAAATTAAATAACATTTTTTTTGTTACTAATTATTTGTTATTATCTTTTTAGATGGACTATTTTGCCATAGTAATAAACAGTTATCTAAAAGAGGGGATGAACCTAATTTAATGCCTGTTCCTTCTCCTCAACACATTCAGTATCTAAATACATTCGATGGTCAAGAACTTACCATTCAAAAACAACCTAATACTGGTTTAAAAGATTCATCATCCTCTACTACTACGACTACTTCAACAATGTCCTCCTCGTAAGTTAATCTGATTGAATTAAATTAGTGTATAAAATAACTGAATATAATAAAATTCTTTTAACAATATTACATTTTTAACAATTTTAAATTTTGCTAAAATGAACATTTATTAATCTTTATTCATTTTAACTAATTTTATAATTGATTTTTCTTCTTATCCATAATTGTATTTGTATATTATTTTACACGTGTTTTATTATAAAAATAACTAATATTATTAATATTTTAATTTCATTGAAAAATTTAATCTATTCCAAAATATGTTTTATTTCCAATGAGATTTAAGACCAAGAAATTTAATTATAATTCTAGGGCATTATTTGTTATTAATTATTATAATTACTTAATTTTGTATTTACCATGTACCTATTTAATAATGAATAATATAATTTAGATGAGTTTTTAATGTTTATAAATTGTATGTGAATTTGTAGTATGAAATGATTTATTTATTAAGCTTATTTTTATTTTATATGATTAGTAATAGCCATATTACTTTAAATAAATAATATAATTATAGTAAAGCATTTTAACATGATTATATTTTTATTGTTTTAGAGTTTCTTCATCTCAAAATAATATGGACATGATAATGACAGATTCCAATATGAAATCATATAATATCGTTCGTCCTGGTGATATGCCTTTAAATCCTTCTGCAGCCGCAGCAGCTGCTGTTGCAGCTGGTCTTCAAACATCACAACATCAACCAATGAAACATTTCGATCCGATATCTTCTTTGGCTCAAATGAACCAACAGTTAGCTAATAACGTAGCTGGCGGAGGATCATCTCCGATTGTTAACCACGGTGGTGGAGTACCTTCTTTACACCATCCTGGTGGTCCAGGACATCATCATCCTGGAGGTGGAATGATGTCACCTTTTGGTGGTGGAGGGGGTCCACCTATGCACATGATGGGTAGTAATAATGATCCTATGTGTGGTCCAATGGGAATGGGCAGTGGTGGAATGCATGACAGTGGAATGGGTGGTCCTCCTGGGAGTGGGGGTCGTATGATGTATGGACCTGGACCGGGGATTGGACAAGGACCACCACCTCCAGGTCCTAATGGAGGTGGAATGTCTATGGGACCAGGAGGTGGATTACCAATGGGAATGCCTCCAATAGGTGGAGGTAGAAGTGGTGGTATGATGATGAATTCCTGTGTTAGTGGTGGTCCATTATCACCAAAATCATCGTCAATGATGCAGCAACAACAGTATCAACAACAACAACAACAACAAAGATTAATGCCTAGGATACCAGCAGGAGGTGGTCCTGGAGTATTATATAATGGTGGTGCTAATATACAGGTAAAACCTAGTGCACCCAACACAATACAATATTTACCTAACAATTCTAGAGGTGGTGGTCCTAGAGGTGCTCCTCCACCTCCTCAAAACCAACAACAACAACAACAACCTGGTTTAGACTTTTTGCAAAGGTTTTCTGGTGGACCTGGTAACGGTGGAAATCCATTGTCTAATCTTGATGGGAAAGTACCTACTCACAATTTACAATATTTTCCAAATTCTGGTGGTGGTGGTGGTTACAATAATAGTAATGGCGGCGCTGGAATTAATGATATTATGTGTGGTAGTGGTGGTCCTCCAGGAGGAGGTGGTATGGGCGGAATGCCACCCGGTGGCCCTAATAATAGTCGAGGAATGATGCGTGGTAGTTCAGCGGGTATGATACGACTAGGAAGTGGTAACAGTGGAATGGGAATGAGTGGTAATAATTATAACGGTGGGCCTTCAGATAACATGTTTGGTGGTGGTGGTGGTCCTCTTCATCATCCATCATCAGGTCATCCACAACAACAGCAAATGATGATGATGGGAGGTGGTTCAGGAGGCCCTCCACCTCAACAACATAAAGGCGGAGGAATGATGGGTGGACCAGGTCCTCCAGATGCTACACAACCTTTACCGCCATCAATGGGTGGTGGAGGAGGTCCAGGACCTGGTGGTGGTCCTGTAGGATTTAGAGGTGGTCCACCTGCAGCAAATTCATTCATTGGTCCAACTACAGCAGATCCAAATTATGCCCAGCAATTTCATAATTTCCAACAACAATTATATGCCACCAATACACGTGGCGGAGGTGGTGGAGGAGGTCCATCAGGACCAGGTGGAGGAGGGCCTCAACAATTTTTTGTTTCCAAATAAATAACAATAATTTGACTTTTTCCAAAGCAATAACAATTATTTATACTAGCAAATTATGTGTGTTGTATTATTAATCATCTCCCTTTTTTAATTATATTTTTTTAAGCTGCCTCCCAATTGTATAAGATTAACAGCAGACTGATAATCCTTAAAGATAATTATTTTTATGTGTATTCAATTTGTTTTCAAATAACATCCAGAAATTTAAGTTTAAAAATAATGTAAAAAAATAAAAAAAATAGTTAATTTGTGCGTGTATACAATGTAAGTATTATTAAGATATGTGAGTATATAATATATATTTATATACTAGAATTGTATAGACATGACTATTTATAATGAAATAATAACGAATAATTCATCTCCGCCACCACATACTACAACTTAATAATTTATTATTATTATTATTATTTTTATTATTATTACATTATTACATTATTATATTATTAATAATATAAAATTATTGTAAATGATTTATTTTGTACACCGACTTGAACTCTGCAGCAGCAATAATGAGAGAGTGAGCGTGTAACTTCAATGATATATATTTTTTTTTGTACATTTTATTATGATTATTTTGATGCGCCACTCCAATGTAATATAAATGATTATTATAAATATTATAACAAATGTGTTAAATAATTTTTGTGGTTATTTTTTTTTACTCTTGCTAGTAATTGAATACATTTCCAGTGTAATAAATGTAAATCTATGAAAAAGGTTTTCTATTATCATGGTTATTATTATAATCTAAAATTTATATTAAAACAAAGTGTAAAAATATGATAATAATATGATCTGTTTAAAATACTAAGTGCAATTTATATATTTAAAATAGTGGAGCTTGTGTTCTGTGCTTTTTGAAAAACATAGAAAAAAAAACAATGATCAATAATCAAGAATTGTCAAAAACTTAGTGCAAAATATTTGTGATATAAATAAATGGTGGTCATTTTATTATCCGAGATATTAGTCAACTATTTGGTTAATATGTTCTTTGCCAAATGTTAATTTTGTATGGTCACTGAAGATAATTATAGTAATATCCATTAACAATAATTTATTTAACTATAAAAATTTTATTAGAAGATAAAACAAGATGCCTTTATTATTTATTATATACTTAGTTATTGTTAGTCATTGTTAAACGTTTGTTTTAAATTATTTTTTTATTTTTTTTTAAACAGTTAAAACATTTCTTATTAATTTAATTTTGATTATAGCATTAATATAATATTATATTTAACTCATTACTTTATTGTGTTCAAAATGAATGTTAAACATTTAATTGCAAATTCTGATAATTGATTTTGTAGATTAACATAGGATTTATACTTAAGTTATACTTAAAAGAAATTTTAAATACTTATTAATTATTATTTATAAATTCTTAAATTAATATGTATCACAATGTTTACAAGTATAATTTCAGATAATATTTAGAAAAAAAACCATAATTTTTACTATCCAAAAAACAAACTGAAAATGTTAAATAGAAGTCTAATTTTCTTAAATATTATATTATTTAAATGAAGAAAGCTTCTATTTTTTTAACGCATTTAAATAAATAAATTTTTATGGCGTTTTGTTATTTACTGTCATGTATAATATCAATCATAATATATTGCACTGTCTTATGCTACTGTAAATAGTGTCATGTTTATTAGTTAAAATTGTGTAACATAGTGACATATCTCAGCTTACTGAAATGAGCACACATTAGTCCCTTGAACAATACATTTACTGTTTCTTAATAGGCTATTAATTTTTAAATTGTAAACGCTTTATTTTGAACACAATAAATTAAAAATGTTAAATGTACATGTATTTGGTTTGCATTTCCAAAACTAAATTAAATTTAATAACAATTGTTAATTAATTTTTTTAACTTTCTCAAAATGATTACTCAATTATTTGTATTATTAAATTATACAATCATAATAAGCACGATTAAAGTTATCGCATTATAATAATATAGATAGATACTTCATGGTAAAAATGACTGCCCCTACAAATAGGTCTAATTAAACTGTTTTATTAACTTGTATTTTGTACAGTGTACTATACTGTACTATACTGTAAAGGATTCAACAGTATTAAAACATAATAAAAATGTTATAATAAAAAAATGGAATAGAATGCAGCTAAAATGTCACAAATTTTTGTTTGTGAGTTTTTAAGTTAATGGTTTTTTTTCTTATTAGGTATACCATAAAACGTTGAGAATCAGTGGATAAATTCATTATTTTTAAAAACATTTTACCGCGGATAATTGTCTAATGTTCTCTTTAAATTATGAAAATTTGCTAATTTTACTAAAATTTTGAGGAAGCGGTTTTGATTCGCTCAAAGTGATCTTTGTTTAAAAAAAAAGAAAAAAAACCACTTGTTAAATGTACATACAAGTGCCTTGTGTCGCATTTTAGAGCCAGCGCATAGTTTCGTTTTTTCAGGTAGTGTAATCCTTTAAAAACTATGGTTTGACGCGGCGCGCAATACTTGCAAGTACAGTGAACGAGCGCTATAGCGACTCGTCTACCATCAACATATATACCACCACCACCATAGGACACAACATAACCGATTAGAATTCCTTCACTATGTCCGTATTTGACGGATGGCGAACCGGATGACGCGTTGCGTTATGAATGTTATGACTTACTGTTAGCAGCAAAAGTCGCAAATTCGCTCTGTACTTCTATATTAATAAGTACACCGACGACCGATCTTTCCTCCTTTGAACACGAAATCAACTTGTCGACGAATCAAAACTTCACCCGTCACGCACCGTGGTATGATGTTTTTATCAATTTTTTTTTTCCTTTTAACAGTCCGCTAATGACAACATACAATAATTGCGATATATTTGGTGTATAACGTCTTGTGGTAAAATAATTTTTTTTTTTTGTGATTAACGCCACATCGCTGTTATGATCGTTCCCGTTACACGCGTACACAACGATTGGACAACGACCATCGGTCACTACGCGCCGCCAATAGCCCGCGTAGAGTTCTTTGCAGGAACCTTTTTTTCTTAAATTTTATACTTTGGAAATATCTAATTTTTGGCACAACTGCCCGTCGATTTTAAAACAATTTATTGCAAAGTTTGAAGTTTATTTAATATTTTTCTGTGTTATGAGCCTAGGGGACAGTCATACTTTTAACATGACAAATATGATTGAATGTGTATACAACGATTATGTAAATTGTCACGATTATAGGATTTATTGATATTGTAGTGTAGGTCCTTAAAAATAAATTATGTTTACATATTTTTATAAATATTTTCGTCCGACGTTACTAAACAAAAATATTTATGTTAACAGAAAAGTACATACCCTTCATCCTGTTGCTCTGATTAAAAAAAATTTTCTTGGGAAACTAAATATAAATTGTAAATCAACTTTTGGTAATAATTATTTTTTAAATAATAATACTTAAATTGTATTTGTTGTTATTTAACATAGGTACATGATTGATTAACACAGTGTTTTACATTGAAAAATAAACATAATCAAGTACACTATATTTTAAAAATCAATTTTTAAGAGTTGTTCAATGTGAACTCTATTAACTTTGATGCACTTAACCATCTGTGCATAAATAACGAAAACCCCATCATTCAAATTGTAAATAAAACATTTTAAATTTTAAAAATAAATTCAAAATATATCTTAGGTATGTATGAAGTATGACACGAATTCAATATTAATTATAAAAGTAATTTAAGTATAACAAGTACAAAATACAATATTCATCTTATAAAGTCAAAATAATTATGTTACTGGATTTAAAAAAAATTAAAATTTCAGTATAAATACACAAATATTTAGATTCTTTTATCTATAACTTATGAAATTTGGTATAAAAGTCGCCAGATTTTATTAAACATCAAAAGGTTAAAACACAATTTAAATTTATGACAATAAATTCGAACATTTAGAAATCGGTGAACCCTAATTTTACTATCATTTCATCATTTTTATTAGTTGAGAATATAAAACACTGTTATAATTATTATTCATGTATGTTGAATTACAATAAGTACATTTCATCACTGCATGTCTTGCAGCGTTCTCGTACAAATCGATGTGATGTCACACCATTTTTTTTTTTAGTCTTCGACAAGCTCAATGACGGTGTCACATCTTGATTCGTAATATTTATTTTTACTCTTACGATAATATTCTAAAAACAAATTGATTAAAGACAGATTTTGAAGGAAAAAAAAAAAATTAATTGAGCCACTACAAGCGAGTACCTACGCTTATATTATTACTGGTCTCATTCATTTCAGAAACACTGTGTTTGTGTACCTATATCAAGACGTATTGATCACCAATCGCTTGTATATGATTCTATGTTGAATATATTAAGTTTAAAATCCTTGGCTGATAATTGAGTAATTACTAACCAGAAGTTCTTACGGTGACTTGTCGATGGAGCGCGGTCGATTGTTCTACGCGCTTCTTGCCAAGTTTTTTTAGAACGCCTAACTTCCGGTTCTGATCTCCTTATCCTTTTTACATAATTGAACACGCTAATTCTTATCGTGGTAGGTAATTGACCTATAGCTTTCAAGATGATATGCATTGCGTAAAGAAAAAAATGATTGGAATTGTTGTTTAATTACATGACAGATAATTAATTGGAACGAAAAGAATGAAAACAGTATTTTATAGTAATATCGATAATCAAAATCGAGAAATTTATTTTTTTATATATTAATATATCAAATAAATAAATAAATATGATGATATATTATTTATTAACTGCATCATATTATTATCACTAAACTCATCAGTGGGTTTATTTAATCTGTTTCAAGAAGCAAGTTAAGTTTATATTATAGTTATCTTAACTACGAAAAAAATAAAATAGATTTCACGATACAATCACGTTTTCTTAAATCTTGATTGCATTTTTACAATCATAAATTTTATGTTTGAAAATGTTATTACAGAGGGTTTCGATATTAGGACTCACTTTGAGAACAG